TCGAGGCATGCGGCCACATGCTGCATCCTGCAGAACCTGGATGAGCTCGGCATGACTGGCTTGCGCGAGGCGCCAGTGAGTTTGCCGACGGAAGTGATGCGAGGCGGCAGCTCACCAGCCTCAAAGGCGGGTCTGACGAGGTTCGTCGCGCGGACCTGTGGGAGAGGAATATAGCCTGTCAGCGTGTATTATGAGAAGGCAGGGGTAAGATGAGGGCGCGGTGAGCGAGAGAGCAAGACAGGCCATGTGCTCGGCGGCACTTCAGGCGTCGTGAGCCTGGAACACAAGGTGCCGACTCCTCCGCGGAATCCGACTCACCGCCATCAAGGCCTCCTCGAAGGCAGTAATGTCCCTCCGCCCTGTCGACCAGATGAGTGGCGGGGCGGCCTTCTTCCACAGGACATGCAGCTGCCTGCACGTGGAAGCGAGAGCCAGCATGTCAGCGAGTCCATCGCAGAGGGAAATGATCTGGACTGTGATTTCGGCCGGACATGACAGCAGACCCTGCACCATGGTTGCTGGTAGCATGAAGCGAGTAAGATGTCTGCGAGGTGGGGGCGGGGTGGTAATGAGAGGAAGGGTGTAGGTGCGAGAGGGAAGATGAAGCGGAAGAGACCGAGGTGGGGGGAAAAGAGTTGTAGAGTTGGGCAGTTTCGGTCGGCGTCGAACAGTGTTCTCGTGACAGCGTGAAATGAGAAAATAGGTCGTCCAAATAGGCAGCTGGAGCGAATGATCTGGTAGATGGACGGCTCGATGCAGATGATGGATGATGTTTGATGACTGGAGCCTGCAGTTCATACCGGGGAGGTGGAAGCTTCGCGGTATGTTGGGGGGCAAGGCAAGGGGCGAGGCTGGCCAGACCAGATCGGATCCGACTGCCCACCTGTTCATCATCAGGGGTCGTCGCTTAACAGCCAACCGTCAGCCACGAGCCCCCAAGCCCCCTTCCCTTGCAGGCCTTCCCCTGGCACGAAGGGCAGGCACCCGAACCCCTGGTCGACTGACAGCTTCCCCGGACGCTGCCAAGTGGGGATCGAGACCCCTAAGCTTTTTAGCTCAGCACTGCACTTCCAAGGACCCCTCGCCAGAGTTCGCAGGGCCTAGACCAGGATCGGGCCGGACACCGATGTCCGAGGCGGCTGCTGACCCTCTGCTCGCTTCCCTGCCTGCATAGGGATTTTGCCGAACTACCTCGCCCAAGGTAGCCAGGCATTTTGACCTTGCAGGATCAAGCTTAACGCTACCTAGCCTTGCCTCATCTCCCACTTATCCATACGCGGAAAGCTGATCCGGGAGGTGGCCGCCGATTCTTCAGCGCAACGTGCAGATAGGATGCATGGTGCGTGGCACGGCCTACCCTCCCTGATGCATGCGGCGAGAGGCGCTAGCATGCCCTGGAAAGTGCCTCTTACTCATCATGCACTTTCCTGATTGCCATGTGCCTTCCAGCGCACACATCCCTACCTACCGCTGGAAACCCAGAGACTTCACAGGTACAGCCGTGTACCTTTCTTCCCAGGCCGTGTTCTTCGCGCGCAATGCTACATACTCTGCCTCGGCATCGCGATGCTCCGCAGCCAGGCGAGAGGGAGACAAAAAAAAAAGAATGATGCACCAGCTGGATCGAACGGGCTCTCGGGCCAGAGCCAGAGCCAGAAGCTCGCCCTGACCGCATCCCCCTCTTCCTCTTCTTTGCCGTCCTCTTCGTCTGCCCTCTCTCCAGGACTGTTCTTGTGGCTTCATACTTCATACTACGTCCACATACCTACTTGGCAAGTCATCGTGTCATATAGTCGGTCAC